TCCCCGAGAACCGTGAGGCTGATCGCAGCACTCAGCCTACTGAACTCACGTGCCTTCCACGGTCCTAGTAACCTGAGGGCCTCACCAGTGCCTCGCACCCAGGGAGCACCCAGGAACACTGGAGGGTGTGTGGGCAGGAGAAAACGGCTGCCTCCTTCAAAACCCTCTCTTTTCCCTTTTGACAGACAGGGTGTGGCCAATTTTGTGCTTAGTATTTTTAATTTGGGGTTCTCAAGGACAGAGACATGAACACGTTTCTAGGCCCGTGGGGGCCATTATGAAACGCTAGCCGCTGCCACGTCAACCGTCACACTGATCTCGATGTCCGAGCTGATTAGGAGGCTGATCAGTTATCAGGCACTGGAGGAAAAGCATCTGTGAACCTACGCTGCCCGTGCCCCACCAGCAGAGGGCGCCAAGCGTATCCTCATGAGTTGCAGAGTCCGCCCAGGCAAAGGGACGCTGAAGTCCCTCCCCCATCAGGCAGCGGGCCCTGGGGTCATAAAGGCACACAGCAAAGTCCCTGAGCTTCTCCGCCCTGAGACACTCCTGCTACTCAAAGGGGGAAGAAAACCCAACAATTCCCTGAGACAGAGCAGACCAAAAATGACAGCCTTCGCGGGTTATGTTCAAGTCTGTCTATCGTGAAGGCAAAATGAATTGGGGGCACGACTGACGTGTGTCACCTCTGGGAACAAGACACAGCGCGCGGGGACACCGCGGAGGCGAGCGGTGCGGCAGCTGCCCTGGCGTCGCTGAGTGGACCTGCCTCACAGGCGGCCAGATGGCTCGGGTTCGCCAAAGCATCTTCCCTACGGCAGCTGTGGGGCAACCCGTGCCCAAGACGCCGGGGGCCCACCCTCCAGGGAAGCCTGGGAGGGCGATCCAAGCCACAGTCAGTGCCCCGCCACAGTCCCGGCTCTTCGGCCAGGCTGGTGGTCAGGAGAGGGAGCACAAGTCGCCGTGTCAATCTGTAAATGAAGTGGGCGTCGTGCCGATCCAACGGGATCTGGGGCAGCCTGCACACAGGGGTTGGCGAGCTCGCCTTCCGAGGAGGCCAGGAGACACAGAAGGGAGGCCCTCCTTCCTCCGGCTTTTGCACCAGTGGTAAAACAAACCCCCTGCCCTTGCATTTAGTGCTCCGGCAAGGTCACAAAGGGCCAAGCGGTATTTTAAGATACTTACAAAGGTCTGACACTGGTCAATCTAATTACATAAAACTCCATTTAAAGGGAGACCGATCAGGGAAGCAAAAGCCGGAAAGGGAAAGGACACAAAGGCACGCCTAAAAACAGGCCCAGAGTGCCTTGAACCAGGCCGTGAAAGCGGATCTCCAACCACAGGCTGGTTTCCCTACCTTCTCTGCCTCACAGGGGTGCGGGGAGTCGAGCCGGGCCCGGCAATCCGGCCCCACACGACAGCCCAAGCTCTGCTCTCCTCTGGCGGCTACTTCCCCTCCCTGGGCCTGATGTGGAACCGTGAGCGGGCCACCGGCCGGAAGAGCACTGCGAAGGGACGTGGCCCACTGGCAGGGCTGCAGAGGCATCAGCTACCCCTCGGGAGGGGCTTCCTGGCCCCCCAGCCGCGGGGTGGAAGCGGGCCCTGCCCGTCGGGAACCCCTGCCGTTTTCACGGAATAAGACGACCTTCTCTGCCCGTCCTGAGGCACCAGGGAGTGTCAGTGTGCAAATATTTGTTCACTGGGCGATGCTGGGAAGCACTTTGGGAATCTTTCCAAATGAAATCAAGAAGCCATAAAATGTGGCGATGTGCCAGCTTCACGACGGGCCAGTAGCTGCCTGAGGAAAGATACCAACTCACTAAAAGCCACTGGGGACCAAAAGCTGCTTTCTTGGGACTCCTCTGCTCCCTCCACTCCACACACTGTCACTTGCTCTGTCCGACCAGTTCCTGCAATAATTTGACGGCTAACAAAGAACTGAACTCGGTTCTGTAACATCTAAGGAGTCTGACATGCGGTACGTGACAAATGTCTTGGATGTCTGACCAGCCTCTCTGTTTTCATGAAAATAACTGACGTGAGAAGGAGAATGGAAAGAAGGGGTCAATGTTATTGGTGGCTATTTATAATCTTCCCGTTTAATCCTAAATGCAATCGGGTTTGTTAGCACAGAATCACAAAGCGGGAGACCAGGGTTCTCTGGGAGCCCCCAGTGGGGTTCTGTGGCCTCGGGCAGGTTGCTCGGCCTCTCTGATCGCTTCTGTAAATGAAGAGGAGACCCACCTGGCGGACGCCCGCCAGAATCACCCAGAATCACAGAATCACGCGGGAGAACTCGGAAACCACGCCTCCTACCTTGTTGCTTAGGCACTTCTTTTCGACCAATCAAGTCCCAGTTGGTTGCCCCAAAAATCAAAAGCTGCCCTTTGCACTTAGACCCTTCGAGTTTCTACGGAGACAGGGAGAGAGAAAAAATATTAGCTTGCAACGTGGCTTCTAGCTTTCTAAGTCTGTCCAACGACAGTCAGAAACAAAAAAAAAAAATAGGAATTCGTTATTCGCATGCCCCCCCCGCCATCCCC